TAGTCATAAACGGCTACGCTCTCCTTCTTTTAGAAGAGCCAGCTTCCCAGTGTCCAAATCCATTTCTGTGATGACTGATCGACAGCTCGTGCCTGGAATTCACAAGAGTTTGCTCCCAAGAAGGGATGTCTCTCCCTCTTATCCAATGAGTTTCCAGGGAGCTATTTGACATCTAGCCCGTGTTTACTATAAAACTAGGCAGGGCAGGGGTGATTTAGAATAGGCTTTGCATAGTTTGTATATATCTTAATATTTGCCTGTAAGAAGCATGTATTACTTTCATACAAAAAGAGCCTGAAGTAGATTCATCCATCTGATTGGCTCACCTCTTAGAACTTGTGGCTTGCCAAGTTCAGGGACACACGAGTTCTCAGAGCAAACCCAGAGATTTCAGGGAGTCTGTGACTGCCACGAAACAGAAAATCTATTCTCACTAGATTCTCAAACTGTTCCATGGTCCCACCACCCAGTCCTCTCAACTGAAAGAATGAACAGATGACAGAGTGAACAATACATGACAGAGAGACTAAGTGAAGAAACAACCCCTAGAAAAAGTCTGTTTCCCCACAACTTTGGTGTCTGTTCTTTGCTCTTGATTCAAGTCATTGTCAAATAGCTCAGTGGCCACTTCAATCGTGAATTCATTTTCAGATATCACCAGATCATTTTAAAACACGTAACGGCTTTGTGCAACAACATTCTGACATTTGAATTTGACTAAAAAATAGTTTTACACGTTTCTCCCCCCCCCCCACCATATCAAAGATGTACTCATATGAAAGTGTTCCTTTTAAATTCGTAAATTAGCACAAATAAACATGTGCTTGCTTTGCTTGTTGGGCAATCCACTCCTGAAAGGGCCTTTCCATGGGAATGCTCCTACTCATCTCAAATACCCTGGCTCCTCGTTTTCACAGACAAGACCATGGACCCAGCAAAATCAGCCAGTCAGGACATACTGGCACTGGAACTGAGCGGCTAGGTCCAATTCTGGAGTTTTTGTTGTTTCTGCAGTGTTCACATTAAAGGCAGAAATGGACAGGACCTCAGTTCCACTTGGGAACACGTTCTGGGTGCTAACCCAGAAGATCCCCTTTAAAGCGATGCTGCACATTTCCATTTGCTCACTGTGTACTCTTTTCTTCCTTCTGCCCATCCGCCCATGCTGCCCTCTCACCCTCAAGTCTAATACAGGGAGAGTACTAACACCCACTTCACACACGTCTTGTGAATGATTACAAAGCCCTGATTCTCCCTGAGTGTTTTAGAATGGATTCTGTAAAGGACATTCTTTAACGCATCCCTAGACGACCAAACTTTAAAACGACAAGGGATGTCTTCTCATTTCCAAGGTTCCAGAAACAAATAAGGAAGACCATCACCCTATTCATACTTTAGTGAGTTGAACTGTACCTTCCAAAAAGGTATGTTCAAATCCTAATAAATGTGACCTCAATTGGAAATAGGGCAGGCACAGGCAGGCTAAGCTGAAGTCAAAGTGGTTTGGGTAGGGTGTCAATTCAATGTTTGGTGCCTTAGAGGAGGAGGAAAATTTGGAGAGAAACACAGAGAGGAAGGGCACACGATGGCAGGGGCAGAGATTGGGGTGCTGTCACCTCAAGTCCAGGGACACCCAGGGCTGCCAGCTAACAGCAGAGCCGTAAGAAAGGCACAGGCACTTTGGCCCATGAAGGAGCCAACCCTGCTGACATCTGCATTTCAAATCTCCAGCCTCTTGAATAGTGGGAGAATGAATACATTTCAGTTGTTGCAAGACACCTAGTTGATGGTATTTTGTTTCAATGACCCTCGGAAACTTAAATGCACACCATCGATGATTTGAAATATGTTCCTTTTATTTCCTTCTGGCTTCTATCTTTCTGGGCTGATGAATGCTAGTTGCTCTTGTTCTGCTTCATGGGAGGCATGGAAAGAAGCAGGTGGCAGGTGGCCAAGTAACATTAGTCATCTGCAAGCTTGCTTGGATTTGAAATACTTTTAAAACCCACTTCTACTTCAGTAGAGCCTTATTCGGATGCTTTGCACTCTCCCACCTTTTCTCTTAAATCTGTGTCTTTCCCCAAGGTCAGGCTCTAGGAGGCAGACACCCTCTCCTATTTGTTCTTCATTTTCACGAGAAATCCTGGTGAAGCAATGGCAAAGTGCCCAGTTCCATAAAAATCAAGCCTTGGAAACTCCACAGGACAGTAATGCTCTGTCTCATAAGGGACATGAATCTAAGTTGGAAATGACTCGACAACACACAACACTTAACACAGGATCTTAAACTGTACAAAAAACTTATCCCCACTTGATTTGTATGAAGCATCAGCAAATAAATAGTCTCTAGCTCAACTCTCTTGTTATTTCAAGAAAATACTACAAAAACAGAATTTTTCATTATCAAATATGTGTTATCTAGATGCCTTGGTGGCACAGTGGTTAAACACTCAGCTGTAAATGGAAAGGCTGGTGGTTTGAACCCACCAGTGACTCCGAGGAAGAAAGATGACACAATCTGCTTCCAAAGAGATTTCCAGTCATTGAAACCCAAGGTGCTGTTTGTTTCTATTCTTTACACAAACACTTTAAGCTTAAATGTATTCTTGACGATCATGAAATCTTTGCATAATAGATATTATTTGTGCTGGGCTACCTTGCTTTTAAAATGAGACAGTCTTTTGCCCAAAATGTTCATTTCTATCATCCCCAATTTTAATTTCAAAAGTACACTATTTTCCCCCCTAATACTTCAGAAATGTAACATTTTCTGGAAAAAGTTGGGAACAACATTTTAATACTCATATTCTAAAATTTCATTGCATCTAGCCACTCTTAAAAAAAATACACACGATTCTGAAAATTGCTGAAAACTGCAGAAAGCTTCTGGAACAAATTTCTTCAGAGTGGTTAAGCGGTCTGCTAGGAGACATGCTGTGATAAATGAAACACAGGGCCCCTTTCCCCTCCTCTTAGCCCTTTCACTATTGATAATGCCATTTAGCTTTTTTTTTTAAAAAAAAACCCACTAAAAACAATAAGTACATTCTAGCTATTCATGATGCCTCTGGCTCTATTCACAGTGGAGGAGGAAGAGGAGGAGGAGGAGCTACATTCTCAAGCAGAATGTTGTTCAGTGCTGCACCACGTGGGCCCTCTGAAGGGCTTAAATTCCCTCGCACAGAGCAAAGGACGCCAGGAAGCCCTTCCCTGTGTGCCCCTCACACACCCTTGCCCTGCAATGTAAGCCATTCGCAGCGTTCCAGAAGCCCATGGAAGGTGGAGCTTTCATGCGCCTCGCTGAGATGCCACAGTCATAAAGCTGTCATTGTCCTTCTCCGGCACTGCTCCATGCTGTAGGTGTATTATCCACCAGCCTTTGTTGCCCACGAGTGCTTGCTTTTAGACAAGCAGATTGCTAAGTAATTGCACTGACTTCCTACCCAGGCACACAGAGCATTCAACAGGGTTCCTGGCTAGAAACATACAGACTGGGCACTCTCTCCCAAGGTCAACAGGCTCCACAGAAAGCCAAATGACATGAAGCCTCATTACATAAGGCTCTCTAAAAGCAAACACTCAAATAGGTTATTTGTACAATTGGACCTTGAATTTTGGGGTTAATGTTTAATTTCAGTATCACACTGATCACATAAGAGTCTAGGTCACAGGAAAACAAGTCATAGGTGATGCTACTGTGCACACACTTTTCTCCATTCCTGGATCTGTCCTTTTAAAAGCAGATTCTACTGCAGAGGGCTGGTGCTGCAAAGGTGGAGTCCAGCGTATCTGCAGGCAGTGGAACACTTGTACAAGATACAGTAATGGTGAACACTTGAAGCAATGTAATTGTCAAAATCCAGAGGACTGTACAACGCAAAGAGGGTATCTTGTCTAAACTACAGACGTTAACAATAATGTCTCCATGTTGGTTCATCCATTGTCACAAATATGCCAGTAACAGGAAAAGCTGTGAACAGGCAGAAGCAGGCGTACTGGGACTCTACTTCCTGCACAGCGTTTCCAAGAACCAAAACCTCTCTAAATATAGTCCAAGAAATAATGTCATTGAGTTAAGGGATACTGGATACACTCTGGACTCACGAAAGAACGAACAAATCTGTCTTGGAGGAAGCGCAGTAAGACTGAGACTTCAAAACAAGGATGGCAAGACTCTGTCTCATGTCCTTTGCGTGTATTATCAGGAGGGACCAGTCCTTGGAGAAGGACTTGATAAAGCAGAGACAGGAAAAAAGAAGGCGGCCCCCAACAAGATCACTGACATTGTAGCTACAGCAAAGGGCTCAACTATGGCAACAATCGTGGGTCGCTATGAGTTGGAACTGGCTCAACGGCACTTAACAAAAACACATCACATTTTCCAAGCGATCTATGATTTTCTTCTCTGTTCTCCTTCTGCACAAGGACAAAGTGATACAGCTGAGGAAACCCCTTTGCCACAACGAAGTATCTTAAAACAAAGTGCTCTGCTCCTCTCTCTCTGGGAGCCCCACAACCTTGATTTCTGTTTTTAAGCTGTGAAGTAACTGATGAGCAAGACCAGTGGGCACCGCCTCGCCGTGCTCCTTTCTGACTGCACTCCTCAGAGGAGATGTCCGTTCTCGGTCCATGACCCAGTGGCTTTGCCACCCACGAGACTGTCACAGCCTTCCTGGAGCTACGCATTTTGTCTAAAGGACCTAACTGCAGGGCTATTCACTTTGCTTTCTCGTGTTGTCAACATAAAGAACTTTACTGCACTGCAAAGAGAGGTGGTTTTCGGAATGCAGAGAGTCCCCAGACTGGGTTGCTTCCCAGGATGCCGGGGTGTGCAGCTGCTCTGTCCTGGGGCACCCACGCCTCAAGAGGCTCCAGGGCCTGTCGGCTGGCTTCCACTTTAAATTTGGCAAAAACACACAGTTGGATGTGCTAACCAAGCATTCAAATGCCGCAAAGCTCGCCCTAGCCACCACTGTCTCCAGCCCACACACTTCACCTACCCCAGCGTGGAGTCAGGGTCCTCAGCAGGGTCAACAGAGCTGTTGTGTTCTCTCTGCTCCTCGGGGTCTTCTGCTTGCTTCAGGGGCTCCACCGACGCTCCCTGCAAAGGGCAACACAGGGAGGCACCAAGTCAGCAGGCCGCGCCTTCAGCACATCTGTTATTATGAAACCCCTCATTTGTGGCCACAGAGCCGGGGACACTGTCCGCTGCCCGTGCCGACACAAGCACGTGACCAGCTCCGTCAGCTCTGGGGCTGCTTTCAACAAGGGGACGGAACAATCTGTGTGCCCACTTCTGTCCAGGGCAAAAGACAGAGCTCCCACACAAAGTTTGTAAAACTCCGCGATGCAGCTGCCCGGAAAAACAAAACGTAAAGCAGCTAGTGCTGGGACTCAGGAGTGCAGCGGCTTCTCTGCTGACCTGGAGCATGGCAGGTGCAGAGGCTGTGCTGGGAGCCCACCATATCCGTATGCCACCCTCGATGCCTACAGGGCATACGAGGCTAACGAGCTCCTCTACAGACCAGGCCTTCGTCACAGAGAGCTGGCCTCTGTTACTAGTGAGCCTTTGTGGAGCAGTAGGCCAAACGTTGGGCTGCTAATTGAAAGGTCAGTGGTTCAAATCCACTAACCAGGGAAGGAGAAAGATGAAGCAGCTTGCCTGCACACAGAGTGAAAGCCTTGGAGAGCCTATGGCGTAGTTGTACCGTGTCATTAGGGGTCACTATGAGCCCGAATTGCACTGACAGCAGTGAGTTTGGGATTTTTTGAGGGGCATTTGTGAATGTAGAAACGGTTCTCTCTAAGGGTCACCCATAAGTGAAATATCTCAGTCAGAAAAGGACAAATAGTGCATAGTGCCACTGTTGTAAAATGGGACTGACATCGGGGTTGAGGGGAGACTGAGAAAGATGGGCTCAATAATGTATACTGCATTGAAACAGATACGGGAGAGAACTGTTTAAAAGGGATATGTGATTAGGTATTATTGTCATGACGGGAGTCCAGAATGAAGGCTGCATAGTGGAATGGACTTGGGGGGAGGGATTGTATAACAATGAAAGAATTTTACTTTTCAAAAAAGAAGAACGAATTGGGGAGGAGGGATGGGCAGGGAGAAAGGTGCAATAATGAATGAATGGAAATCCAAAGTCTCTGTAAACTTTCATTAAAATTAATAAAGAAATTATTCTGTCTAAAGTGTACAAATGCAGATTTAACAGGAAAGGAGGTAAAAAAGAGAGACAAAGATGTTAATAGTGCATTTAATCATTTAGTTAATAGTCAACTGTGAAAAGAGTCCCATTATCTTTAGGAGTTCTGGGTGGTACAATGACTGGATAACTCTCCTCATTGAAAGTACTTTGGGTACTCTCAATTACCCTCCATCCCAGAATAATCCCTGAAGATATCTGTAATATGAAAGAGGAACAAATACTACTAAATTGCTGACATCAATATTTTGTAAGTGGCTATGTTATGCCATCTTTGGACTTGAAACACCTCTCTTTCAATTAATAGGAGGCTGCGAGAAGAGGTTGAGACTGCTAACAAGTTCAGCTTGCTTGGCTCCACAATCAACATTCTTGGTCTCAGCAGCCAGGAAATCAAAAGACGAATTACACTGCTGTCAGGGACCTCTCCAGAGTACTGAAGAGCAATGATGTCAGTTTGGAGACTAAGGCCATAGTCTTTGCAATTACTTGCTATGCATCAGAAAGCTGGGCAATGACTAAGGATGACAGAAGTAGAATTGATGCTTTTGAATTGTGCTGCTAGAAAATATTACTGAATATACCATGGACTGCTAAGAGAACAAACAGGTTTGTCCTAAAGAGGGTGAGACCAGGCTGCTCCTTGGAGGCAAGGATTCTGAAGCTTCGTCTGACATACTTTGGACTTGTTGCAAGGAGAGCCCAGTCCTTGGAGAGTGACATCATGCTTGGAAGGGTGGAGGGACAGCACAAGAGAGGAAGACCCTCGATGAGATGAATCGACTCAGCGACTGGGGTAATGGGGGTAGGTGTGTCAGAGACAATGAAATTGGCTCAAGATAGAGCAAGGTTCAGAGTTGTACATAAGGTCACTATGAGTCACAGGTGACTCAATGGCACATAACAACAACAGCTAGAGGATGCAAACAGCTAAGTGCTTGGCTAACTAAATGAAATGCTGAAAGTGTGTATAAGAGACACATCAGAAGAAAGGCCTGGAAATCTATTTCCCAAAGGTCCCAGCCATTGAAAACTCTGTGGAACACGGACGCTGATACATACAGGGTTGCCAGGAGTTGGGATCCATCCACCAGGAATTGGTTTTGGTTTTTACATAAAGAGTGTCCCTATGGTTCTCTCCGGTTCTTTGCTTAGTATCAAGGCGGGAGAAGCTGAGGGACAATTGAAGCAAAAGACTGGGATCACAAGGCCAGGAACTAAGGATGTGGGCTCGTGAAAACAGCACTTACAATGTTCATGAATGTGTCAGTTTCCACCGCCCCCCCCCCAAATGCCTTTCACTCAGACAATGCCGGAGAGGCTCTACGTTCAAACAGCTGGGTATCCGTAAGACAAGCACCTGACAATCACCCTGTGAGTATGTCCTAAAACAAGCCCCAGTTGCTTAAGGAGACCCTATGTGTGTCAGAGCATAACTGTGCTCCACAGAGTTTTCAGCGGCTGATTTTTCAGCAGTAGATTGCCAGCACTTTTTTTCTGAGGAGTCTCTGGGTAGACTCAAGCTGCTAACCTTTTGGTGAGCAGCCAAGTGCATTAACTGCTGTACCATCCAGAGCCTCTGTGGGTAGGGCCCCCCACCACCATAATTTCTAAAGACTGCTCTGCCCTGGTGGAGGCGCTCACCTCTTTGTAGTGGTCTGTGGATGGCGAGGACCTGGATCGTTCATGCAGGTATGATGCTTTCTCTTGCTCGTTCTGTCTCACGTCCACAATGTCGTCTGCGGAGTGGTACTTCCCAGAACTTCTGGCCTCCAGAGGCTTCCGCTGTTCCTTCCAAGAAGCCTGATACTCTGCAAATGTGCCAAGTCTCTGGTATACGTCAGAATGAACCACCTTCTCTAGTTTCCTATGACTGGGGGCGCTGTCCCCAATGGAGACAGTGTGCCCTCTCCTGAAGAAGCGGGGTTCCTCACCCTCACCCCTTTGGCCAGCTGTCCGCGGCCGTTCCAGCTTCTCTCTAGGGAATCCACCTGGGACCTGTCTCTGCCCCAGCTTTTGATGTGCAGACCGGCTGGTCTCCTCAAAAAACTTCCGCCTGTCAGCAAATGAGGCCACCATGTCCTCCGCCCTGTCAGGGAGCTTGCGAGGACGGTGGTTCCCCATCAGTCCCACTTCATGCATCTTCTCAGGCTCAGAGTATGACTTTAGCTTCTGCTCCACTGAGAAGCGTCTGCGGCCCCGGATTCGGGGGACATAGGGTACACCCACTGCAGAAGAGGACGGCTTGTTCAGGCTCCCCTCCAGGAAGTGGGGAGCAGCATCTGGGCCTGTAGGGAATAGGGACGCGGTGCCATGGTCCCCGGGCCTGTGCTCTGGTGGCACTGGGCAATGGTCAGCTGGGTTGGGATCCAAGTCACGACGCTTAAATGATGTTGCCCTCAGGACCTTGGCCTGGACCTCCTTCAGGTGGTCTTTGTAGGTGTTGCTGGAAGAACCTCCTGAAGGGGCATCAGTGGCAGGTCCTACTTGTTCCTTCCAATCATGAGAGTCTTCTTCTGGCTCTTCTGTCCCCAGCAGGGTCACAGTACTCTTGCTCTTCTGCAGCTCGGCTCGCCGCGTCTGGATCTCGTTCCTCAATGTGGTGGCAAAGCGGTCACTCCTCCGCATTGGCTTCCCGACGTGGGTGTCGGTGTCTAAGGGGAGCGGCTTCCCTGAGTTGCTATCTAGGGACTGCCTGAGGTGGCTGTTCTGGCGGAACCGTGACCGATTCTTCCTCCCTTCTTGAGTCAAAGAGTGCAGCATGGGGGTCTTCTGAGGGGAGATCTTGGTGCTCTCTCCATCATCGCCTGGCTGGAAGTTGCCATCTGTGGCCTTCTTGGGGCTGACTTTGTCCCCATGGCTGGCTCTGGGTGGCTCCTCAGTTCCCACAGACAAGCTCTCTCCACCTCTATCCAGAGAGGACCACTGTTCTCTCTCGCTGGGGTCTGACAGCTCACCTTGCTGAGGTAGGTATCGTGGTTTGGGGCCCACTGGGTGGGTGGGAAGCCCTTCCTGGGCCTTGGGTGCCACGCCGGCTCCTGTGGATGGCCAGCAGTCCTCGCTCAGTGAGGTCTGAGCACTGCCCTGGCCCAGCTGCTTGAGGGCTGTGCAGCAGTAGCGGCTCTTCCCACCAACCTCCACCTTCTGGTCAGCAGGGCCACCCCACCTCACTGCAGCAAAGCCATCATCCTGGAAGCAGTCAGCGGGAGGCTCCTGGGGGCCCCCACTGAGTGACACGTGTTGCGGTTCCCTGGGTGATGCAGACGGCCGGGGTCTTTCGTCGCTATACTGGCGAGAGTGCTGGTGACTATAGTGAGACTGGGCGAACCGCATGTCACAGCTGGACAGCGAAGCCTGAAGTCTGCTGGGGACTCCAGGGAGGCCCCCCACGCGGTCATCAGAGGGCCAGTCGCCATCCAGGGCTGGGTCTGCGTGGTGGCCCCCAGTGCCGGGTTGCTTCCTGTCTCCAGCCCGCACCAGCTGTCGTGGCAGGTCTGCAGGCTCTGCTCTCCATTCAGCCCGTGCCAGGGATCGTGGCAGGGCAGGCATGTGCTGTGTGGTGGCTGCTTCTGAGAATGGAGGGGCTGGGACCTTCTCGTGGCCCTTGGTAACAGCAAAACTGTCGCTGCGCAGAGGTGGAGGTGGCGGGGGAGGAGAGGCAGGTGCTACCTTCTTCTCAGGGACATACCAGACAGGCCCAAAGTTGGACCTTCCAGGGGTAGCCAGCTTTGGCTCAGGGATGTCGTCCTGCTGGGGACTCTTGCTCTCACGGTGGGGGCCAGCAGGTAGGTGGGCCAGCTTCTCCTCCAGGCCGTGGGCCAGGTCGCCGCCTGTCTGGGCCTGCCTGCCGCCCGGCCGGGAGCTCTCCCACAGGCCCACCTTGTAGAGGAGGTTCTCGGTGGATGAGCCCTCGGCCCTGGGCAGTGTGTGGTCTGGAGTGCTGGAGCTGGTGGAGAAGGAGCCGTAGGCCGAGTCGCGTTTATTCGGGCCACCTAGGTGGTCGATGCTGCTGCTGGACTTGGCCGCTGAAAGACGGCCCGAGGAACAGGACTGGGCAGGGGGGTCCAGGCTGTCGACGCTGCCCAGGGAGCTGAAGTGGTCCGAGGTGCGCTGCAGGTTTGTCTGCTCCCACGTGCCAGACAAGTCGTGAGAAGATGAGCTGGGGGGGAAGAGAGAAAAGGACAGGAGTGTTTGCATGGCATCAGAGGGCAGGGCAGGCAGGGTGGACAATCCGCTCACCAAAACCTCTCACACAGGGAGGGAGAGCAGAGTGTGCCTCCTATAAGGGGGTCGCTGGGAGCGTAGCCTTGCACACACACGGGACAGCAGGGGGGACAGGATGCTTCCTGCAGGCAGGGCCCTGGTCTAAGGGTCCACCTCAGCACGTCCAGTCTCAGTGCGTGAAAGAAAACAGCTAGTGGGAGGCAGGCCCAAAAGTGAGCAGCCTGCCCAGATCATACCTTGTTCTTGGATTCAAAGAAAAAATGACAACCTTTAATTCTAGTAGCACATTTTCTCATGTAAAAGCCCATCAACTGGCCAAACTTTACAAGAGCTGCCTGGCTTTGCGCTGCTCATGCACTTTTCTGTCTTCTTCCAAGTCAAATCCATCATGGTGGAGTTGATTCTGACTCCTACTGACCCTCCAGGACAGAGTGTTCCAAGGCTGTAGGCTTTATGGGAAAAGCCTGCCATGTCTGCATTGAGCTGATTGATCGCTAGGTTCCACAGAGATTTTAAATAATAGAAAGAAAAGAAATAGTATCTTTTGTGCCATATGAAAATGATATGATCTACACATTTCAGTGGTCATAAATAAAGTTTTATTGGCACACAGCCATGCCCATTCATGGTCATGGCCATACATTTGCTATATAGTACTTGGGTTGAAGAGTTGGTCTGTGAGGCCAAAAATATTTACTATCTGGCTCCATAGAGAGAAATTCTATTGACCCCGGCCAGTGTGTTAAGTGATTCCGATGATTAACACAAAAGAAGCTATCAAACCAGAACAACTTTAAAAGAGAAAGTTCAGGGATTTCATTACTTTAGTTCTTCTGTAGTCTCTTCTGTAGCACTTCTTAACTTGATAACACAACGGACAGACTTTATATTAGCCATATGCCACTGTGCCCAGGTGGTGGGGTAAATTTTACAAGAGTAGTAAGAACTGGACATTAACACCAATAATGTTGCTAGGTGCCTTTAATTCAATGAAAGTTCACAGAGATGCTGTATGACAGAACAAAACTGTCTGATAAGGTTTCCTAGGCTGTCATCTTCACAGCAACAAATCACCTAGTCCTTTCTCCTGTGGAGCCACTGGGTGGGTTCGAACCATTAACCTATCTATTAGAAGCCAAATCCTTAACTATTGCTCTACCAATGCTACTTAATACCAACAATGGCCAAAACCACTGCCACCAAGTGGATTCCACTCATAGAGTTCATCCAGGACACAGGATTTCTAAAGCTATAAATCTTTTTCAAAGGAGAGTAGCATATTATTCCCCCAGAGAGAAGCTGGTGGGTTTGAACTGCCGACTTTTCAGGTTAGCAGCGGAGTGCTAAACCACTGTGTCATCAGTGTTCTAAACGTTAATAGTACAGAGTAATAATTATTATGACATCTCAGATGAGAAAATAAGCTGAGCTATAAAAGGTTGATTGGGAAATTTATTATCTCATGATGTAATAGTGCATTTGTGTGAGTGGTAATGATGGAGAGATAATTTATTCAGACATATGAGAAGTTTCAATGAAGCTCAACAAAGCTGGTGCCTTCATTTAAGAAAAAGAAGGGTGGAGGGGAAAGCTATGGCTGCATTAAGTTTGGGGGCTCTGGTGGTGCAGTGGTTAAAATACTTGACTGCTAAGGAAAAGTCAGCAACTGGAATCCATTAATTGCTCTGAAGATGCAGACATGGCAGGCTTTTCCCATAAAGCCTACAGCCTTGGAACACTCTGTCCTGGAGGGTCAGTAGGAGTCAGAATCAACTCCACCATGATGGATTTGACTTGGAAGAAGACAGAAAAGTGCATGAGCAGCGCAAAGCCAGGAAAAGGACCAGCTGGTGGTTTGAGGGAAGGAGCTGATTGATCGCTAGGTTCCACATCCGTTTCCAAATATGACCTGCCTTCCCTCACACCCTTTCCCCAACACACTCGGGCTGATTTTTCCACGTGATTCCAAGTCCGAGTGACATAAATAAGGCTGGATACTATACAGACACAACACTGCGCCTCTTTAATTAAGAAACTATGTGGTGGTGGTGGTGGTGGTGGTGGTGGTGGTGGTGGTGAGGTGCCGGCGAAGCTAGTATGACTCATAGCGACTCTATGAAAAACAGATCAGAACCCTGCTCTGTCCTGCGCCATCCTCACACTTCCTGACACACTTCCTGAGCCTTTTGCACAGTCACCATGTCAATCCACCTGGTTGAGGGTCTTCTTCCACCCTTCCCAACATCATGTCCTTCTCCAAGGAATAGTCCCTCCTAGCAACATAGCCAAAGTATGTGAGGTGAAGTCTTATCCTTCTTGCCTCCAAAGAGCACTCCAGCTGCACCCTCTCCAAGACATATCTGTTCTTTCTCTTGGCCGTCCATGGAATGTTTAGTGCTCTTCTTCAACACCACAGCTCAAAGACATCATTTCTTTTTCTGTCATCCTTATTCATTGTCCAGCTCTCAGATGCATCATAGCAAGTGAATGGAAACACTATGGCCTGAATCAGACATGCACTTAGTCCTGACATCATTACTCATTGATAATATGGAGAGGTCCTTAACTGCAGATTTTCCTAGTGCAATGCATCTCCTTACCTCCTGACTGCTGGTACCAAGGGTATTGATTGTGGGTCCAAGTAAGATGAAGTTGTTCATGTTTCAATCTTTCAATATTGCAACACTTAAATTTGTTTATCAGTTCTCTCAGTTGGAGAAATGCAGAGTACGTTCTTCCACAGTATGGGCTTAATAGAGACCACACGATACATGCCAACAATGAAAGCAAAGACTCATTCTTCATTTCATTTTCTACTCAGCTGAGGATCTGTCCAGGTACCCTGAGCTCTAAACACATCCTTTGTAATTGACTTTAGGAGGTTATGCGGCATTAAAATGTGTTTCCTTTCCTTCGCATCACATCTGTACTTGACCCTTCAACTGTGTAGGAGACTTGTATTTGTTACTACCCCAAGAATGGATTTTGAGATGGCCACGCTGGCTCCAGAGAACACACGGGCAGAACCTCACATGCAAACCCACACTCTCTCTCACAGCACACATGTACAAACATCACTGTCCCTTTCTCTCTCACTGACACACACACATATACTCAAACACACACACTCACACATGCATGCACACACATTGAAACATATTCACTTCCCCTTGCATCTGCACACAAGCACACTCTCCTGTGCACACTTTCACATAGGCACACTTTCACAGGTCCACACACAACTAATAGAAACATACACTCTTCTATGCACACACACACACACAAGCACACTCATTCTCACGTGTACACACACACACACACACACACTCTCTCTCTCTCTCTCTCTCTCTCTCTCTCTCTCTCTCTCTCTCTTTCTCTCTCTCTCTGGGCCAAGCAGGAGGCCAGTGAGGATTCTCACCATTAACCATCAGAGGTCTGGTCAGCACAGGAGACTCACTTGACCTCAGCCTGCCTGAGCCTGAGCTCTGGGCTCCTGACCAGGGCCCAGAGGCCTCAGCCCATACCTCAAGTAGGTCAGCGCACTGAGCCCTCTGATGGGACTGTGAGGCTGTCTGCCTTCGCTGTGCCTGCTACCAGTACCCAGGGGCCCAGGAAGGCTATAGACCATCTGAGGAGCTCTGGCCAGATCCATTCCCCAGCCCCAAAGCTCTCCTCCACCCCAGCCTGACAGAGACATCTATCTCCAGGGAAGAGTGGAGCTGCAGGTGTATGGGGGCGATATCATCATCTCACCTGGTTGAGGATCTGTCATCCTGGCTACGAACCTCTGAGGAAGCCCCACTGACAGCCCTCCTCATCCTAGCTCTCCATAACTCACTCAGTACAGAAGACAAAGCATATTCAGAAATCCATCCTCTTGGTGTGGGAATCTTTCTTATTTTCAAGTGTCACAAACCTGGCTGCTCAGGGAAGCATTTACAAAGTTCTACCTCAAATGCTCAAGAAAACAAAGATTTTCACCATTGGGCTGATTGGCAGCATCAGTATGGATGGTGAAGAGATTGAGATTGTTCACAGCTTCAGTTGGCTTGCCTCTACAATCAACACTCCTGGTACCAGCAGCCAGGAAATTAAAAGATGAGTTGCATTGGGCAAATCTGCTGTCAGAGACCTCTCCAAAGTACTGAAGAGCAACAATGTCAGTCTGGAGACTAAGGTGAGCCTGATACAGGCCATGGTCTTTGCAATTACTTGCTATGAATCAGAGAGCTGGACAATGACAAGACATGATAGAAGGAGAGTTGATGCCTTTGAGTTGTGGTGCTGGAGAAGAGTATTGAATATACTATGGACTGCTAGGAGGAAAAACAGGTTCATCCGAGAGAGGGTGAAACCAGGCTGCTCCTTGGAGGCAAGGATTCTGAAGTTCCATCTGACATACTTTGGACATGTTGCAAGGAGGGACCAGTCCTTGGAGAGGGACGTCATGCTTGGGAGGGTGGAGGGACAGCGCAGGAGAGGAAGACCTTCAATGAGATGGACTGATTCAGTAACTGGGGTAATGGAAGTAGGTGTATCAGAGACAATAAGATTGGCACAGGATAGAGCAGAGTTTAGGGCTGTTGTACACAGGGTTGCTATGAGTTGCAGGCCACTTGATGGCACATAACAACAACAACCTCAAATGAGGGCATTGATGGTCTGTTTCTCATCAGAGGGCAGAGAGGATAGAACTCCCCTCGAAGTGAAGGAATGAGCTGCCTTGTAGGGCAGGGGGAAGAATGCTGCAGGCCCCAAGGAAGTGTCCCACCCACCAGAAGGTGCCTACCTCGCATGGTGTCGGGTGTGCCAGGACGGGCAGCCACTTGTCGCAGAGCTTGGGGCAGCCACAGCCTCGGGGGTGCCATCGTAGAACTTGGTGGCGTGCCAAGAGTGTGGTCTCCAGCTCAGTTCACTCCTCCTGGAAAAGAAAAGAGAGGCCTCAGGAGTCCCGTCGGAGGACGCAGTGGGCCAGGGCAAGGTGCAAGGCCCGTTCCTAGGGCTGCACGCGCATGCCCAGGGCCTTCATCTGTCTCCAGTCTTCTGAGAGCCTGAGCAGTTGATGTGCTTGGCTGCTAACAGGTTTGAGTGCACCCAGGTGTCTTAGAAGAAAAGCCTGGTGATAAAAAAAAAACAAAAAACAACAAACCACAAACAGTCATTGAAACCTCTGTGGAACACAGCTCTACCAATGCACTTGGGGTTCCCAGGAGTCAGAGTAGACTCAATAGCAAACGGTGACTTTTCTGTGCAAGAAGATTCTGTTTTCATTACTACTCATGACAGATGCACATGAGTGCCAGGTGGGAATCGGAGACGCTACAATGTAAACCAACCTTTACTGCTCAAAATGTAATAGTAAGGGAGTACCAGACTGAAACGCAAACCAGCTCTAGGAGTCAATGGCAATCATGGCGACCCCATGTGCCCAGATAGAATCATGCTGCATGGGTTCTCAGTGGCTCACCAGGCTTTTCTCCTGAGGCACCTCTGCTCTGGGTGGATGCGACCTGCCATGCATCAGCAGAGGGGCATGTGCACTGTACTACCTAGGACTCCTCTAGATATGTAAGTAAACACCCGAAGTTTTGCCTCCCACCACAGAACAAAACCAAAATCTTTTCCCTTGACTCTTCCAGTCAGTTTTGGGCAGATGGGATTGGGTCAGGCTTCACGATCTACACTACTTATCTGTTTTTATGAACTTAGTTAGGCAATAAAAGCTGTTGAGAGTTGAGGCCAGAGCTGCATTTTCCTGCGAAGCTCTCAGTGCAGGCCTGTCATAGTGCATGTCCATGACCGTGCCCGTGTCATCAGTGCACACCCGTGGTGACATCAAACATGTGAATGATGGGAATGGTAACTCCTAAGATAAACAGCTCATGTGGGCTGAAGTCAGAACTTCTGATGCAGCATGAGCCCCTCAGGCCCCGCTGCACCATGCCCCCACCCAGCAGAAGCCTTACTGCTTTTGTGTCCACATCTCCCCAGCAGTGGAGTGATATGTCCGGGTGAAAAGTCCTTGTACAGGCCACAGGTGTTCCACCACATGAACACCACTGAGCCACCAGGGCTTGCTAGAGGCGGGAAGGAGGACCTCTCACCCTGGCTGCGTTCTTGCCTGATTTTACAGTATTTCATGAGCTTCCCTCACTTTGGACAGCAATGACCTCACCGTAGGCCTTTTCTGGCCCACCTAGGAGCTGAGACAACACTGAGCAGATCAGAGGACGCTGAGCACCTGTGGAACAGCGGTGGTGGGACAATGTGGCAAGGGAGAGTGGTGATGGCGGCCCAGCACAGTGCACAGAATCATTGCCACTGAATTGTACACACAGATTTTTTAAATGAAAATAAGTTAGAGCCAAAACAAAGCATAAAAAACAAAAATAGAACTCAGCCGAGTGTCTCTAGGTGCTTCCGGAGATCAGACGCTTTTCCAAGCTGGCACAAACATTAAAAGGAAAGCATGTGAGCAGGAAAACAAAACCCAAAAGCATTTTAGCACCAACTTCTCGATCACTCAGAACTCTTTAACAAGAAAATAGCAATAGGGGTGGCAAAATGCAGAGCATGTCAACTTCACACCAGTTTCACAGGAGCTACAGAGAAAGTGTACACAGACAAAGACACCACAGAAGCAAAGATATTATAAATCCAAGACTGTACCTCATAGAGTTCCTCAAAATCCTCGTAAGAAAGGTTCTGGCCATGTGAATGTCCTGTTCGGGTGGCTTTTCCTGTGCTAGAATCTCCACAACTTCTTTCATCTTCCCTTAGAGTTAATTACTGACGGAGGGAAACTAGGCTAGTCAGACTGGAGGCAAAGGGGGAGGGGGTGAGAAAAGCTTGGCAAAGGCAACACCCTCCACTTTGGGGCCATGGAATTCTGCCTTACAACTGGAAAGCCTGGGGTACTGACCGGGATGGCTGGAGCAGATGTGCTCCATTTATGGAGTAAACATTTATTCTAGGAAAACTCCCAGCCAGAGTTGATTGAACAGAGTGAGCCATTGAGAGTGGCATTCGAGGCAGTGGTTTCTAGCTTCCAATACCCCGTCCTCCCACTGGGGTGCCAGTGGCCGTGGGGTAAAAATGAATCGGAGGCCTCAGCAGCTTTCCTCTCTGGTCACGCTTACGATTACTTGCTCTGGCCACCAAAACTCAGTACCACCAAGACTCTTAGTCATGGGCCTGCACCCCCACAGCTGCTCGGACAAAATTTCAAGACACTTCTTACCCCAAAAAAGCATGCAAAGACCTTCAGAGATGCACTCCCACCCCCAACAACTCAAGCTCATAAATACTTATCAAGTGAGACTACGACTCCTTGACTTGCTTATCTGTGAAGTGGGTGTGACACTCTGGCTTCCAGACACCGAGTGAGGATTCAGTCCATCAGAGAACATTCCCTGCTCAGCACAGAGTGGATGGTGGGGCGGGCCTGGTCACCAGGTCATAGACTGACTGGATTGTTCCTGCTCTTAAGGCTGCCTCCACACCCTCAAAAACCACTGCCTGCTGTGGGCCTTCAGGACTGTACCACAGAGCCAACACTGTGACCATGGCCTTGCCTGACCTACAAAGTGCAGCTCAGCATTGCCAACGCACACTGGTGGCCATTCCAAAACGATGACTTGCAAAACACAAGCATCTCGTCTTCGAAACATGGAATCTCAGCATCTCCCTATGTGTCAGTGGCCATGCATTAGCTCATTTAGTCTTGCCAATAACCCTGAAAGGTAGCAAGGAGAAGTTTCCCTATTTGATCTTTAAAACTGATGAAACTCAAAGAGATCTGGTGACAGAACCAAGAGGAGACCAAGTCAGCTTCACTTGTTCTGGGATGTTCTTTTCATCACATCCTGCTCACCTCAGATAGAAAGTTAAGCATAAAAATGCTTCTATCTCTTTCAGGGCAACTCATATTCATAACATTATAAGTCATGCAGAACAGAATTAAACTGCTTGGTTTACCTTCTGATTCTAATCATGTAAAATCATTTGGTATACTCACTCTGTAAACTGAACTGATTAGTTAAAAAAAAAAAAAAACAACAAAAAACACCAACCCAACAACAACAAACCTGTATTCAATTTTCTGAGCATTTAACTCCAATTAGGCCTGGAGGGTTTTTGTGTTGCTATTGTTTGCCTTTTGTTGCTGTTGTTTTGTAACACTTCTATCAAGATACACAATTACACAGTTCAGCCATTTAAAGTGAACCATTTAACTGCCTGCTTTCATATATTGACAAAGTTATCTTCCATCACATTATCTAATTTTGGAACACATTTTTTTCATCCCAAAAGAAATCCCATATTCCTAAGGACTCAGCCCTCAGCCCTACACAACCACTAATCTACTGTCTGTCTCTATGGATTTGCTGATTCTGAACATATCACGTTAATGGAATTAGACAATACGTGATATTTTGTTGTCTGGCCTTTTTAATATAGCAGAATGTTCTAGGTCCCAGCATGTGTCAGAACTTTCTTTTATGCCTGAATAACATGCCATTATATGGACTGACTGCATTTTGTTTCCCCATTCATCTACTGATGGACATTGGGTTGCTTCCACTTTTTGGCTATTATACATAATATTGATATAAGAAAATGCTGTTACAAGTTTTTGTGTGGATATATTCTCTTGAGAGACCATGAGGTTTTCATGAACACTCTTAGTGGAGAATCTTGTTAGAACGAATTAAGAAGAAGGAAGGGGAGAAGAGTATGGGGGGCTGAGGGTGTGTGTGGGAAGTCCGGGGGTTACAGAGTTCAGTGGGCAGAGGGAGGGTATGAAGGAATTTGGAAAGATCTAGTGGATCTATAAAAGAGAGAGTAACAGTGGGCATAAATCAATGGTGATTAATTCTATAAAAGTCCACAAGGGGAAGGGAAGGAGGACAGGCAAGGAAAGGACAGGGGCAGAGAGGGCAGGGAATAACGAGGATAACAGAGTAGGTAGGTGAAGGAATTAAGAAAGATCCAATCGAGACCTGAAAAGATGGGGTTACAGTAGACATAGCTCATTGCTGATTAATTTTACAAAACACAATATACATACTGACTGGGGAAAAACATTTTTCAATGCCATACCAGACAAGGACCTCATAATGAAAGCCTACAAAATCCTACAGGGCCTCCACAAGGAAAAGACTGAGAACCCAACTACAAAATGGGCAAAAGACACAGAAAGACTGTTCACAAAGGCAAAAATTTAGATGCCCAACAGACACACGAGAAATTCCCAAAATCACTAGCAATGAGATGCAAATCAAAATCATAATGACAACAAGAAATAAATGTTAAGGAAGATGTGAAGAGATTGGAACTCTCATACACTGTTAGTGGGATTATAAAATGGTATAACCACTCTAGAAGGCAGTTTGGCATTTCCTCAAAAAGCAGAACATAGATTCCTTACTATCCAGTTATTTCACAGCTAGATATACACTCCGAGGAAAATAGAACTGAGACACAAATGGAAATTTGTACACTGATGTCCATAGCAGTGTGGTTCACAATATCAAGAACATGGAAACAGCTCAAATGTTTATCAAGAAATGAAAGGATTAAGAAAATGCAGTACAAAGGGAGCTCTGGTGGCCTAGTGGCAAGACGCTGCACTGCAATCCCAGAGGTACGCGGTTCAAATCCACCAGATGCTCTGCTGGAGAAGGAGGGGGCAATCTCCTCCTGTACCAGTCAGATCTGATTTGACGGTACACATAAAAATAACACAATTTCAAAAAAAAAAGAAAGAAAATGCAGTACAGTCACTAAGTAATGCAATACTCAGGAGCAGTGATTTAAAAGAATACTGTATAACATGGAAAAGGTTGGAGAGCATTATGATGAGTGA